CAGCCTTTGACAAAGGAACAGAAATTTCCAAGTGATTTCTATGTCCAGTCAGAACAAACTAACTTGTCTGAATTACAACAAAGCTATTCCAAACCCCTCCAGACCAGAGATTATATGCAGAAATGACCTCGCAAATACACTGGAGGCATTTTCTAGTTTTCCTCAGCAATTCACAGGGAGGAAGTAAAATGGAAAATTCATTTATGAAGTTACTATAAATTATTTGCTGAGGTGGACTTGACAAGTTTCTTATTGCTTTTTGCCACTTGCACACCAGCCTCATGTAGAACAAGCCCAGCATTAGAAACTGTCAGAGCATTGCTAATCTTTTCCTTTGTACTTTTGCTACTCACCAGGCTGTGAAACTGCTCTGCCACACTTAATCTAATGAAAAGGGGGAAACACCCCAAACAGTCAATACAGTATCCCAAAGACCACATCCCTGGAATCACTCCATTCATCAAACAGAGACTGAAGCAAGGTTTTGACAAGCAAAACAGTACAAACGTTACATACGTCCAGAAGTTCTAGTCTTGCAATCATCTAAATGGTTTCCTCTATCCACATGAATTCATGGTGCCCTTGTGGGAGTAAAGGATGCTCATAACTGAGGCTGAGGCAAAACCGAAGCCTGAAGGAAAGCAGTCCGTGTTCTTACTCCGTCAAAAGAAAACACTAGTAATGCTTCTGACTACATAGAGCTTCCTTCTGCTCCACTGAATTCAAGGAACAGATCACGGCCAAAGATTTTACTTGGCAACACCAGTTAATAAAGAACTACTTAACGTCTAAGAACTGCTGAAAGGCCATTTTTCAGTAAAGCAATTGTATTAACACTTAGATTGGCTAGAAATGTCAATGAAATGATAGAAAATGTCATTAACAGCCTAGAAGAAGTTAGTCTATAAAAGCAGAACAAACTGTATAATATTTTGAGTGCATTTGATACTAAGTGAGACCTGCTGATATCTCAAGCAAATTTAAATGACAGTCAATAACGCTCATCACCTTGTATTGCCTGAGTAGAACTGAACTGTGCTTTACCATAGAGAGGAAGGAAGAACTGTGGCTGGAGAAAGGAAGCTGATGATCATTTTTGAAGAAAAGCCTACAAACTGTGGGTCTCGGAAAGAGGTAAAGTAGGTAGGTCTGTTCAAAGTCACTGAAGGTCTAGCACTGAATTGTTCCAAGGACTCTGGAAAGCTCAGCCACAGTGCCCTGCTAGTTTCTTTCCTTCTTGGATCACTCCGAACCATGAGATAACTGAAGGCAGGCCTGGCTCATGCCAGTGGCTCCCATCATTTGATTGCCTATCTTAAAAAACTGCTGCCCACGTTCCCACCAATTGCAACTTCGCCTTCCTGTGGGGTTAGAGGTGGTGGGGCATCATGTTGCAAGGAACACAGAATATTCAAGTCTCCTGGAATTGCCAAGAACAGAATAGGAAGTCACAGCAAGAGCACAGGACGTTGGAAGAAGTGAAGTTAGATTAAGGTAAGAAAAGCAAAAACTCCTAATGGAAGTTAAGAGCAGTTCAGTATTATTGCTTATATTCAGGGGTGCTCTACCCTGCACATAGAAAGTCTGTGAACTTCACAGGAATCAATCAGATTCTGGAGAGAGACAGCAAGAACATACCTGTTTCTGCTTGCAAAGATAGCGCATGGGAAATTAGGGGAGTATAGACGAGAATGCCTATGTCTAAAGGTAGAGTGGAAGTGTGTTTGGAAACCTCTGTGAATAAAAGAACAAGCTGTTATCATATCATCAGTCCAGTGAAACATTCGCATATGTCTTTAATACCAACAATTCCCCACATCACCTGACAAGAATAAAACAAACATCACAGCAAGATTGTCATAATCACAAGAAAATATTGAGCCCGACATGCCCAGCTGTGAGAAATGCTCTCACACAGCAGCAACAGCCATTGCTGACACCAGGGCTAAAGCTTTACAGTGCTGGTGACCTTGAGGTTAACTCTGGGTTTGCTGTGGAGTGAAAGTGCTGGTTACTAGGCAGAGTCACCTTTCTGTCTCCTCTGAGGACCTCATTCATTGGGGAAAATATGCAGTCAGCTGATGGACAAAGGTGAACACGAAGTGCATTGCCTCCAGCATCACTTTGATGAATGAAAACCAGCTGAGGATGCTACATTGAACTCTGATGGGGTTTGGAGGGACTAAAAATCTCTCTTTCTCTCTCTAAGAAAAAAGAAGGCAATACATCTCAGCCATTTGGAAATACTCCAATCACTTTTCAAATGTCTACAGATCATCAGTTCAATTTTGAAGCGTTCTGAAGCACCGCTAACTCAGCTAATAGAAGCACATTTCTTTCTGCATCTTTCCCTTTCACCTTCACTGCAAGGTGAGGCCCTACTCAGATTAGTAATGGCAGCACCGAGTAGTTCAGTGCCTTTTCCAGGTGTCTGGCAGTGTGAAGCCCTTCTTAGCTGAATTCCTAAGGAATGGAGGGTTTGTCTAGGTAATTCAAGTGCTGGACTTTTCAGTCCAATTATACATCCAAGATGCCCTGGGCAAGGATAGAAAGATGCGAAAGGAAACCCCAATCTGAAGTCATGCAAGGCAACTGGACAATCCCTTAGAGTCTACTAAATCTCAAGTAGTTTTAATCTCCAACATCCCATTCCTTAGCAGACAGCCATGCAGGGAACACAGTGCTCGGAGATGTCCAAATAACATTTCTGCTGAGACCTCAACAAAACCCTGAACCTCAGTGCCCTTGAATATGGAGGAAAATTTCCAATTTTGTATTTCAAGTACATAGTCAATGCCACTATTTCTGTTTCCAGGAATGGGCATTTTTCTACCTCCATTCTTGCTATTAAGTCTCCTGCATGGTTAAGGCAGTTGCGGGATGGAAGTGAAGTCCTTGCAGGCTAAGGCCCATTGCATTTTACGAAGCAGCAGGATGTCTGAGACTCTTCACTCGTTATTCTGTAACCAAAACTGAGTTGCAGGTAAAATGGGTTTGTGGTTTTGAAATGAGAAAAACAAAGGGCCTGCTAGGATGGATGGAGCTTTTTGTTTGCGTGCTTTGTTTAAAATAAAACTTTTCTTGAATCTGTACCAACGCACTGACAGTAAAGCTCTTCATAAGGCAGGTTTCTGATAACATCCTTAAAAAAAAAAAATCAAGAAAGGGGGAAAGCTTTTCAAAAGTCACATTACTGGAAGAAATAAAGCAACAATCATACAGATATATTAAGAAACAGCATAAAAACAGTAAAAGTAACCCCACGTAACTGAATCTCCCATACATACCGATAGAATAGATTACATTTAAAAAAGGAAAAAATAAAAATGAAAGTGTGAAGTGCTTTGGAACATGGTTTCTATAACTCTAGTTAAGGGAGATTTTTGACTGTACTGACAAACCGCAGTTCTTGAACACTTGGAGTTTGTTTGGCATCATGTCAGCATGTTATTCTCATTCACCTTAGACTTTCAGAGGCGAAAAAATGAAATTGTGAAAGGGGTTGTTGAAATTCAAGCAATCAGGCTTTAAGAAAGTTCTGTTCTATGACATGTGTTCTGTCTGAATGTGTGTGTGTGTGTGTGTGTGTGTGTGTGTGTGCGCACGCGCGCGCAGTATAAAATTACGAACTAACATTTGAAAGAGACAGCAGTCTAAGTAATAAATTTTCAAAATGAAGAAAACTGTACAGAATGATTTTCAAGGCTTATACTTGACAATTATACATATTTTATGAGACAGTTATGCACCCTGTGCCTTTCTAAAATCATTGTTTTATGGAAGCAGTATCTCTATATACTAAACCAATCTAATGGCCTAAAAAGCATCATTTACCATCCAGCATAACAATGGCACTGCATAGCTTTATAATTTTTTTTTTTAACTCCTTCATTGATCAAATGATTCTTAACATGGCTCCAAACCAAGAATCAAACATCTATGCTTACAATATTTGTTCAGTATTTGGCACAGTGGAGTTTATTTGATATACCTTTTTTGCCCTTATTCTTGCTGAACATTTAATGCTGTTCACAACGCACATGTAAAGTCAGTCAGCTGGAAGCAGTTTGATACCCCTCCACATATTTAAATGCCTAGATAAGAGCAAATTCTGCTAAAAAGGTATTGAACGTGAGTGGTAAGTTATCAGCCCTCTGCAATTGTGCCGACTGTGGTGTGTCCACTGCCAGCAATGGACAAGGACCCTGGGAAGATCAGCTACTCTGCCAGCTGCATGGAAGCTACGTCCAGCATTTGGTTTGACATGCCAGGTTAGGTTTCCAAATGTCTGAAGGTTCACAATAGCTTCAAAATACAAACACAAAAGGAGCTTTCTGATTAACGATGCTAACCCTTAAAACCTTTCTGACATTTACTCCATTGGAAATGTGTCTGGTTTCCATTCCTGACCGGGGAAAACTCATCCAATGCAACCACTTTGTATTGCTTACCAGGAGGAATTTTTCAGAAAAGAAAAACATACATGCAAGATAAGCCTGAGCCAATGCTGTTTGAAATCAGATGAAAGTTTCCTCTTGATTTTGGCCACACTGGGTAAGACTGCAATTGCAAAGGCAAAGCCAACTCTGCTCGCGTGTGGGTGCCTCTTGAGAATTTGGATGAAAATTTACGAGGTGCTCAGTGCTGGCCAACCTCTTCTCCTATTACCCAGCCTTCCATAGAAATGTTATCTGCAAATCTAAGGGCAAAATATAGCCTTTAGGCAGGAAGATCATTCTACTCTCTTCACAAGGCTTCCATTGAAGTCAGTGGAATTTCTCAGGTGAAAAAATATCAGTTGTGAGTTGCAGGTTTAAGGTCAGTATTCCCTTCATCTTGTGCACACACACACACACACACACGCACACACTTACTGTAAAGAAAACATCCACCACACAATTTCTAGATTGCAAATTATATATATATATCTTTAAAAACTGAAGAGAACATAAACAGTCTCTCCATATATATATATATATATATATATGTATTTACTGAGTCACATATAATATGAAAAAACTATATTATGTAAATCATCATATTATCTCTAATTCTCCAACTGGCAATTATTTTTATAGAGACACAGTGCATTCGCTCTCCTTTTTAAAAACATAGTATGTGTCCTCATTGGCTTGGTAGCATATTAGAATGAAGGCGTATGGATAAAAAAACGCAGAGGATTAAACAGTCCCTTGAGTCACATTATGTTTGGGTGAATTAAACAGGATCCTTCCCCAAACTAGCATAAATAAATCCCCCCTCTGGAAAAGTGTCAGTGATTTAAGGGTTAACACAGGCTTGAAAATAATTTTAAAAAATCTTATTAGAGGACTACACAGACAAATATTTGGAATTCATCCCCCTTTAAAAATGACAGCACGTTTGGCAAGTGTGAGCAAATGTCTTGAACTTTACTAGATCTGAAAGATCTGAGCACAGCTATTCACAGACAACCAAGAAGCTGCGATCTGCAAAGAAGCCTTGGCTGGAAGGACTTTGATAACTCTCACTGCATTGCTCTCTACCTGGAGGATTTCCAGCAGCTTTCAAGGTATTTAACGCGGACTCATGGCTGGTGACAGTGTGACAGGCTATGGCAAGTGTGAGCAAATGTCTTGAACTTTACTAGATCTGAAAGATCTGAGCACAGCTATTCACAGACAACCAAGAAGCTGCGATCTGCAAAGAAGCCTTGGCTGGAAGGACTTTGATAACTCTCACTGCATTGCTCTCTACCTGGAGGATTTCCAGCAGCTTTCAAGGTATTTAACGCGGACTCATGGCTGGTGACAGTGTGACTGGCTAAACAACTCCAGCCCCCTTTCCCTCTTTGCCATCATTGAGAGAGCGCACTGGGTTTGAGCAGCGCCCAGACCAGCTAACCCGTTAGCCCATACTGCAGAAGTAACGGGGCTGCGCATATCCCCAGGGCACTCAGTGTCGCTACCACCTAATCCGTCATTGCCTTTATCGTCTTCCTCCTTTATGCCTCACGCCCAAGCCTGTCTGTTCGCTGAGCTCTCCAGTGAACCTCTGCAGCTACCGATGCTCTTCAGCTGTTTCCATCTTGGAAGCTTGTACTATCATCAAATGGGCTGGTACCCAGCCATAGCGGCGTTGTGTTCTCTCCATCACCCCCACAGGATTTCAACAGTGATCCCATTAAAAGAGGTGGTTGTTCTGAATCCTGGCTGGATCTGATCTTGAGAAAAGGACAAAAGTTTCCTGTGTTGCCGTTGTTGTTTTGTATTCCTTCATTCTCACTCTCTCTTTTTGTTTTCATTAAAAAGGACCCTTACATTATTAATGTAGTTCATCCATCCATAGTCACTATAAAACAGACTCCATATTTTCACACCACTCATGATCTTCAAGGTTATAGATAAATTTTGTCCTATGCGACTGATTTTGGGGCACCGAGTCCCGCCCCAGATTGTCTAGGGTGAGAGTAGAGGCAAAAAACTCACTAGTGCTGAGACCACCTTCATGGTTCTTGATGTATCTTTTATAGTTTTTCCTCAAGCACTGCCAGGTGGTTGTATACAAGATGAATGCAAAAGACTTCAGGGCTATAGCAATACTAACATACAGGTATCTATAGACCACATTGTCATACAGCGCACAGGCTCCTTGCTCGCCACAAAATGTGCTCCAGAACAGACACGTGGAATCAATTCCAGCCCCAAAGATCAGCGGAGGTGGGATAAAACCTGTCAAGATAAGAGAGACAAATCGTGCTTTTATGATCTTTATGATAAAGAGAAAGAGGACGTGATTGCAGTGAACAGAAAGAGAGGATACTTTATCAAGGTTAATGGCCCCAGACAGAGCCTGTGATTCTGTCTAATTTTTTAAGCTCTAAATCAACCTAAATAAAGTCTGTGGATATGAGGTTTTTTTAGCTTGGACTCAGCATTTATGGAAGTGATTCCTCTCTAAATCACAAACGCAGGGAAGATTTTTCCCAAGTTTAAGTCGCTTTTATTAAGCTTCTGGTTTGTCTTGTGAGACTGGGTGGAAGGGTAAACGAAAATGAGGGAGGATGGCCTTACATCTGCCTCTCTGTTTAGATACTGGTAACTGCTCCTCAGGGTGTTCACTTGTACGATGCCATAGGACTCCAACTCAGACTATTGAAATCTGCTGTGGCACTGAAATCTAGTTTTGGACTTTTCCCTGACACAGGGGAATGCTTTCTCAGGACCTAAGGAAAAGAAATAACAGCCTCCAATACAGGCTGAAGATTAAACCTGAAAGGAAGTGAAACTTATTTTGCCACTAAATGAAATATCACAGCAGGATTCTCCCACAATCATTGCCGTTAACTGCCTATGAGCGTTTCTCAATCATAGTTTGTTGCAAGAGAGCTACAATCTTACAGCAATCATTCTGATCTCATTTAAGCAATAAAGGCAATGTTTTTCTTCTCTGCTTTTTCCCATCCCACAGGGATATTGCAGAGGCCCCTGATTTCATATCATGATTATCTGCAAATCAAGAAGCTTCACCCTGAAGAGAGCTCTGTCCACCTGCAAACAGTGGGTCAGCCACGCATGTTCCGGCTTTGCACTCACCTGCCAGCACACATGCACTGAGCATGCAGCACTCAGATGTGGATATTCTACATAATGCAAACCACTTCTCTTCCTTCTGTTATAATTATGGGGAGGCTGGAAGCAACTAAATCCCAGAAAAAACCTCTGATCAATAAAATCTCTGCTGGGGGTTAAGACAGGAAGCAAAGGAGAACGTTGTATCTGATGGAACTGAATAGCGAGTGGGCACAACGTACCGTCCCAAGCTGAGACTCGGCAACATTACTCCATTCTTAGGTGTGGTGATGACTGGGACTCTATAAATACATATATAGACAAACAGATACAAGGGCTGCGGTATCTAGGCAAAAAAGTGTTGAATTTAGGATCAAGTTTCATCATTAACCTGGATTTTCAGGCTTAAATAAGATACCTTCCCTTAACTTGTCATGAATGTCCTCGTTTGGCTCATGAGAATATATCCTAGGACTACAGATAAATTGGTTGTCTTTACTGTTGCCTATGGGAACTGAGATATCTACATTTTATTCTGTTGATGACTAGAACTCTTCAAATTTTTTTGATCTTCTTTACAGGCTACTAAACGCATGAGTTAGGAAAGCCTGTGTAGGCTGCCGGCATTCATTTTAAACACTCATTAATAGCATGAACGTGGCAAATAAAAACAGACAATACAAAAGGAAGACATCCTTGTAGGTAGAAACACTTGTTCTAGTCATCACATCTGAAACCTGATTATGTTAGGGAAAAAATCACAGCACACAGCTCCCTGTTTGTTGCTTCAATGATTTCCAGACTAAGCTGGGTCTGTTTCCAAGCTAAAAGTTCTATTTATGTATTTATTTTTTAACCTGCAGACAACTGCAAAGTCATCCTGGGATTCAAAAATTCAGTGGGGCTCTTGCCAGAAGCAAGCAAACAGATTATGCTGCTGATACAGCAGTCGGGAAAGGATCCAGGTCGCGTGACCAGCGCTGTACTGGCTCTGGATACTATGTAAGGGGGTAACAGCTAGATGTGGAAATGACTGAGGAGCCATGAGTTGCGTGCTTTCTGCACTAAGGGAAAGTTGCATTTGTATCATAGCTTTGATACAAATTTGGCTCATGCTTTGGGCTCATGCTTTATAACACATTGAGAGGAGTTGATACAAGGCTTTGGAGATGCACAGGCTGAACTTCAGAGAGAGCCATCATCCATGTCTCCTTGCTGGCTTCAGCTGGCTTTCTAGATCCTCAAGATAATTTGGTCTCTACATTTTGGATCGTTGCTGAAAAAGGCATCAGGTTTCGGTCACTGCAAGGCTATGCAGACTCCATCATTTCTCAAGTCTGGTACACACGATCGCTTGAAGAGATCACTTCTGTGCTGACAGAGGTAATGAAAAGGAATGCAGCTTAAACTGATGCTGCATCAGGTATAAAAGGAGCAGAGCCTGCGCTAACCTAAGCATTGCCACGAAAAGCCTGGGTGATATTTTCCCATAGAAACTGGAAGTTGCTTCTCATAAGACTTAAGGAAGGACTTATTTCACTGAATTTCAAAGCCACATCTATGAGAATGCAGGCACAGATGTGAAGACCTTAAAGAAAAATACACAAAAAAATTATCTTTAGCCTTTGGTGTTAAAGCTCGTTTTCATCAGGGGAACAGACAAGAGATTCACAGAAGTGACCCAGTACCTAAAGTCTCTGAAACATGGGAGTTGTGGGTCTGCTGGCACTGGAGACTGAAAAGTCCGTCTTGGGGAGAAACACTGCTTCTGTGACATGCTGGAAGAAGAGAGGCAAAGGAAGGTGGGCTTGTAGGAAAAACCAGAGGACCCCCACTGGTAAAGCAAAGGCTGTTCTAGGATGCACTGTAAACACTCTCTGGAAAGGCAAGCATTCAGGATCTTATAACACGCATAAACCCCTTTGCCATTCCAGACATGAACTGCCAATGCTGACAATCCCTGGTACAGTCAGGATGGAGTTATTAAGGATGTCTGTCTTGTGCTACTTGCAGAAGTAACTTTTCAGAGGGGTTTTAACTGCATATTTCCGATCCAGCTCAGAACTTGCCCAGATACTGGAAGCAGTCAGACAGAAATTTCTGGTTGCTAGTCTTTTTAGCCATAGCTTTCTATGTGGACGTAAGATGTTATAAGGAAAAGCCAGTCCATATCAAAGCCTCCTGCACAGTAGCTGCTGCCTTCAAAACCCTTAGGCTCTGACAGTGTTGCTTTACATTCTCTAAGAAATTGCAATAACACTTTCATATCAAGATACTATTATGTTTCCCTCTTGCAGCAGAATTCCTACGGAATGAGATAATACATCCAGGAAGATACCAAGAGAATTCAGTTGTGTTTCATATTATTACAGTGAATATTAAAGAGATTCAATCATGCTTTACCTCTTATTGCAAGATGTTGCAAAAATTTCTGCTATATATATATTTCATTGCAGAAACTGCAGGGCTTTATAAAAAAGCTGCCTCTGTCTTTCTGAAATCTATTAGCTATGATTGCACCTCCGGGTCTCATACCTCCTATTTTTAATACTCTCCTTTGGTTCAAGAAGCAGCTATTATCACTCTCTTCTTAAGTCAAAGCTTAAAGGTGATCTCAAAAGCTTTTAAAAGAAATCAGTAAGGCTAGTCTCAAGCTTCAGATTGTTAAGGGCAAGATTTGGATACCTGTGCTTATACTGAACGGTCTTCATTTTCGATGGGTTTTAGCTACATTGCTGATATGCTCCAGCATGTATTCTCTTATTTCATGGAAATTCTCTAGTGACAGAGCAACATATAAATGTTTGAGTCTAAATCCTTACCATGGCTTCTTTACTGGAAAAAAAAAGGGTCTATTAAAACTAAGTTCAGGTATGTTTAGGTTGAGTGGAAGTCAAGATGCAGCTATCTCAGAAGGTTTCTCGCTTTTAAAAGAAAAAGAGAAGAGAGAGAAGAACTTCACCCTTAAGTACTTTTTCATGCACACACAGCCATCCTCCTCGCACGCTTGCCTGCTGACACGCCACATTCAGCCAGCTGAAGACAGGCCAAAACCCAAGAGAGGTATGGATGGCAAAAGAAAACTCTGTCTTTGCAAGGCTTGAACTGGAAGTGACTCAAGTCAACCGAGAAGCTTCCCTTAGAGTTATCCAAGCTTTGAGTAAGACTGCTTACCTACATCGAGCTTTTAGTATGAATGCAGCTACTTCCTCAAAAGCAAAAATAATCTGATTGGCTTTAACGTAAACTGGACTGGGACCATATACGCATGCCGTTCACTTTGTCAGCTAATAGAAGAACAAGGTTGTACAATGAAAATAAGATCATTTATTCATGCAACATGTAGCACCATGAGATTTTCAGCTCCCTCTCCTACTTCCCTCCTCACCTTCTGAAATGAAAAATATTAGGTCCAGAAGAGACCACACAAACAGTTGTTTAGCAAAGAAGAAACAAATAACCAAGTCCTAGAGCAGTACTTTGAAAAAATAGGATTTCAATTTACTGCAAGAAAAAATCTTCCTTGTGCCACCACTCTATACATAGACCATAAGGGAAATCCCATTTCCCGAGACACTCAGTGGGATTGGTACCGGACTAGACACTTCTCTCACGGTGCTTTGCTCTAACCCAGATGATGGTATTTTACTCTCCAGCCAATGCCTTTGATATCAGTGGGGGCATGCAGAGAACACACTACCTGTGTCCTGCCACCGGACAACGCGTGGCCTAAAAGCAAAATGGGTATCCACATCCCAATACGCAGACACCATGTGCATGACATGGTCCCACAGCATGATGGATCAGAGGGAATTTTGTGCTGAACCATTGAGGTAAAGGAGCTGAAACATAGGAGCTTTAAAGTAGGAGCCATTCCTTTAAAACGAGGAGGAAGGGGGAAAAAAACCCACAAAAATAAGAAGCAGATGAACAACAGGCAGGGGTCCAAGGTGTTCTTTTTCATTCAGACATGCGAAACATATACTGATCCAGAGGAACGGCCAAATGTATTTAATAGGATATTAACTCATAGGAGAATACAAGGACTCAGTCTGCTTCATTTTATGATTTCCTTTTCTGAGCGATCAGAAGGAAGGGACGACGCACAATGTATTAACATGGGCCCTATCCTTCAAATGACGGTGAAAATATGTATTCCTCTACTTCAGCAATACACAATAAAGGAGTAATTTTGCAAATTGCTGACACGTTAATAACAACTATAGGAGAGTAACTGGCTGTGTGGGTGCGTGGCACAAATGGTCACTTCTCATGCAACAGCACAATTTTTTCCATTAGCACAATTAAAATGGCAGGAAAAGCACATGCCTTTCTCTTTGGGAGCCTTGACGTTTTACCCTTCAGAGAGAGGTCGCAGATGCTGTTGCATCAAACCCCACTTGTAACAGCTACAGCATCTGACAGAAGGCAGAGTAGGTTTGCATGGAGTAGAAATACAGTTTCTGTGGGGGAGGAAAAATACAGTTTTCTGTGGGGGAGGAAAGAGTAGGAGGGAAGAATAAGAAATTTTTACACCTACCTAGCAAACGGAGAAGCAGGAAAAGCACCCCCAAAGCATAAGACTTGAGTTCGGGGCTCACAGTTCTGTAGGGAGAAGCGAGTTAAAGAGTGAAATCAATTCTTAGTGCTCTGCTTTGATTAACACATCTCTTGGTGATTCTTCGCTGCCAGCCAGGGTGCCACCACCACCCCTTCAAAAAGTCATTAATGGGGTTTTTCTTCTCTCTTTGCCTGAACTGCCTAGAGCCCCCAAAGTAATTGCAACTGTGGCCATGTGATAGGTTCAGGAATTTAGCTAAGTCATTAATAACAGCAGTTAATCTTGTCTTTGGAAGGGGAAAGATGAAATTCCCAACCCAGTAAATCATCATTTACAAATTCCCTACAATACTTGCAAGACTCCAGATGTTGTGAATTGGTGGGAGAGAAATCATACTGTTCTGAGACTTCTCAGACTAATGGGAATAAGAGAGGGAAAGGACGATGATGGACCAAAAGGTTCAGTTAGCCTATTAAAACAAACCTCCTAGTGAGGATACGTTCATGAAGGCTAGTGTCAGGAGACGGAGTAGCATCTGAATTTGTTTTACACAGGAAAACAAATTTCTTTTTGCTTTTGCTACAAAAAGAACCCGCTCTACCTCATTAACGTTAGTCTTCAAAGGTGCTTTAAAAAATCATTCACGGCTTTCTGATTTACTTAGCTTAAGGATACTATTGGCCAAAGTTATCCTCTTGACGTAGGCTCTGTAAAGCCTTTGGTATTTCAAAAATCATTACTTTGGTCTGAAGTCTTACTAATATCATTTTATGTTCCACAGTATTATAAAGGCTGGGAAAGCAGGACAGTGATCCCCATACAACTGGGTGCAGCACACACAGAAACCTACAGGCATCAGCTGCTTCTTCCATTATGTCTTTACTGGGATGCTGTAGTCAGCAATACGAGTGACACCCATGATGGAAGTTGTAGTCCCTGGCATAAATACCTTGGAGGGGAATAAGCCAGTACTGATAAAACTGCCAAAAAGAGTAATAGTTTTTAAGTTAAGAGGAACCATTTTGACCATCTGTCCTAATTTCACACATTACACAGGCCATATAACATCATACTATGATTCCTGCATGAAGCCTGTGACCTCTGGCTGAATTACAGCGGGGTTTTCAGGTAGACACCCATGCTCATCGAAAGACTTTATACCATGAAGTACCTACCCTTGGAAAAATGTTCCATAAATCAAATCCTACAATAGGATGGGAGGTGAAGGAATAATTTAGAGTTTATTTTATGGGGGAAAAAAATAGATTATCATGCGAAATATTCACAGTGGATTTTCAATCAGTGGTGGTGTCCATCCGCCTATTTTTGTGTATTTAAGACGAATTCCTATACCTTAGGGTAAAAGTCGCCACCTGGGGACATCTGCTTTTCTCACTCACTACAGCAGTGAACAAACGATGCTACTAGACGATACATTTAATTTGTAGACACTGAAGTGAGGGCAAATGAATTTCACAGTGAATATGTTCCAGTGGACATGCCTCGGTTTCTGCTCACACGGTACCTACCTCCTTTTGGATGCTGGATGAACAGCATCAGAAGGCCTTTGGGCAGGAGGGAGGCAAACTTCTTTAATTCTACTCCCCACTGCAGCCCCACCAGCCTGTCTTTTCTGCAGCCTCACTGCTAGGTGATCAGTTACATCTGACAAAAGTGGTTTCAGCATAAAATCTGAGTTTCTTCTGAGTGACCATCTCAACCACACACTAGCACTCAAAAAAGGCTACTGGCCCCAGTGTAACTCTTGCTGGCCTGGCAAGGGGAAGGCACCTCCAGGTTGAGCACAACTACCCGGCTCATTTCAACTTCCGCGTGGGAGCTGAAAACGCCACTTTTCACTGCCAGGGCATGCTCATATGCCTACATTTCCATTTAGAAAAGTTTTGTCCAAGACTGTGGTTGCTTGGAGAACATGAGGTGATACATGGCAAAGAGCTCTTCCCTGTGCGTTTTAATTGCTACCTGTGATTCTGCAGGAAAGGTAGTTATGAATCTGGATGTGTGAACTGTTTATTTTATACAGCTGTGGGTTGAGTGTTTTTAATATTTCCTTCCCTTTTTTCTTTCCTTGTGTTCTCCTTCCTGGCTGGTGACTGGCTGATCTCATTTGAAGTCACATACTAAGACGACTCCATTCAGGATCCTACAGGTGCTGGCAATTTCCTTGCACAAAGAACCCTTCAAACCTCAAATTACGTTTGCCACAATATTTAACATGAGAAATTTGATTTCCCTTTGGCAACTGTAGATACAAAGAGAGAAACGAACTAGTAGGTGAAATATCTCATTTTATATCCTGCAGGGAGACATGCCCTTATAGAGCTGTTCTGTCCAAGATCTACTCAAGAGTGTTTCTAATACAGACCTTATTGATTGAATTTTATTGGAATTTTCCAGGCTGCAGAATGGATCTGCTATTTGTGCCTCTGGTTATTGCTCTCAGTAAGTGACAGCCTGGACAGATAAGTAATTCTGAATAAACCTGGGCTTAGATGTATGCATATATCATAGGGTGAAGTGTTTCATGTGTCTGGAAATAACACAAGGTCGCCCATTTGAATAAACTACTTTTGTCCACCCATGCATTTTGGCTCAACTCAGAGACGTCCTTCATACCTTCAAGTTCCCTCTATTTTTTGGGCTAGGTCCAGGGTGAGAGAAGTTAAACCTCTAGCCAGGGGTGTATTGATCCAAGCTAGCCTTTGCCATAGTTTTTCTTTTTTTTTTGTAGTTTCTCTAGGTCATCTCTAAAGGTACCTTATTAAGCCATTACTTGCTCAGAACATGTGGCTGCAATTCTGCCACATTGTTGAAGTAGCACTAATGTCTTCATTGACCGGACTGGAAGCTGAACTTCTGTGTTTTCCCCTCCCCATGCTAATTCCAGTCTTAGTAGGAACAAGTCTCCTACCTTTCTTTGCAGTGTCCCTGTAGGGACCCTCTCGCTTTGCAAGTCCAGGCCATTCCCATTTCACCAAAGCTGAACAACAACAGTTCCCTTATTCCCTCTTTCTAGTGGGTCAGCATGGCATACACTGAACTTAGGAAGGCTATGCCATGGATGAACAAGGAGCCACCAAGCCGAATAGAGGCTTAGAGAGAAAATGGATTAGCTGACACTTGAAACAACTGGGCCTAAATTCAGACATCACAGATCGGACTTTCACATCCCCAACTCCCACCTGTGTGGCTCAGTGAAGTCAGTAGCATACTAGAAAGCTTGTACCCATAGGTCCTCATTTGCTGAGGACATTCAGACTCTTCTGACGACATGAGCAGCTCTTTCAAGGTCTCTCTACTGAGTTCTTAGTCCAAGGCCTGATTTTCTGATGGACTGAGCTTCCACCAAAGCCAAAGTGAACCGTCTGGGGACAGCCAGCACAGCCAAAAATGCTGGGACTGGGAGCTGTGTGGGGTCCCGGCTCTCTGCAGCTCCTGTCAGCCCCCCACGCCCTTCACAACATCCTGGTCTCACTTGCACCATCAGCAAGGAGCCTTTCCACTGGCCTGAAGCCACCTGGAAGTGCATCAGCTCTTCTGAGCATCACCCTTACCTGATGAGTATGATAACCGACGGCGTCTGCGCCATTGCCCCGATCATGCTGCAAACGCACATCACACAGAGGAATGTCAGGAAGGCCTCTTCGCAGCCGGGACTGGGGCATTTTCCAGGAACAACTGTAGCGTTTTCAGCTGGGAGTGAGCTGAGGCACGAACAGCCACTGAGATTCTGCAAAGGAGCACAGGGGTTCAGAGAAAACAAGACCCACGGGTCCCCAGCACTGGTCCTCTGCAATGATGACTCACCAGCCAGCAACTCGGAATTCTCTAATGGTCAATTAATTAATGAAGTGCTTATCTGAGGGGGTTTGGAAAGGATTTCAAAAGCACGTCAGCTCTGATGCACACTATCAGCAAGGGAAAGCCTTCCTTCGGCTTGTTTCTTTTCTTCCGCTCCTTTCAAGTCTCTCCCATAAATGTCACTGCAACAAAATTACTAACAAGTTATGCCCCTTTTGAGAAGAATAAAGAAACGATCTGTGTCCCTGCTACATGAAAGATCCCCCAATTATGGTTCTAATTACTTTCTTATTTACCTCTGTCTTCTTGGCTGTTATAATTAAATTGAAGCCCATTAAAAAGAGGTAAATCTGCAGCCCTGTCCTTGGCTGCTGATTCACTGCCTTAGTCCAGTGCCTGGAATACTGGGAAGAACAACACCATGATGTGTGTCACCAAAAGCTGGCCATCAAAGCTTGGTGGCAGAGACACTGGTGGACTCAAGCGCACTACATGGCTAATAAATGCCGTTTGGTTTAGTGGGATCTGTGTAGAGCTAAAAGCTGAAGCCAAACAAGATAAACTTTATCAATATGTGATCAGAAGGAAGGAGAAATGACCATCTCTCCAGCAAGAGCAAGATGTCAAAAGAAGCTTTGTTTGCTGGTCACAGATTTAGTTTTTTTTTCTTGTTTTCCAACTCACCCTCCTGAATTTCTGAGTCGGAGATGTCAACGCAATTAAGGCACACAATACTACCAAGAAATCCCCTAACGAATACAGAAGGAAATGATCATAAATGATTCATGGCTTATCTTCAGCAGGCTGCGGGGTTTGCAGGTCACACGTTTGTAAGAAAAGTAATGCCATAAAATAAAATGTATTAAAAAATAGTAAAATCTCCTTCTCTTCCCCTCTACCACATTTAAGCTGAAATTCCTTTGCTTTTCTGCTGGGGTTCCCTTAGGACCATACAATAGCATACTTTCTGATTCGCTGCCTCCAAAGATAAGGATCCGTGGGGACACTACTCTAGCCTTTCTGACACCAATCTCTTTCTTCTGCATAGGAGTCAAATGATTTCCTTCCAAATAGCTGCACAGAGGGCAGAAGAGACCGCAGTGCAGAACTCCAGGAATGCTGGAGTAGACGTGCAGATGCCTTTTCGGCTGGCAAGTAATAATTAATGTAACAAATTCCTGTGCTGTGAGTCAGCCACCTGAAGGCTTTGCGATGGTGACAATTAGCACCACTGCAGTGGGTGTCTGCACCGTGACAATAGGGCAGTAATTTGTAATTCCTGGCTGTCACTGCAGTGCCTAGCTAGCATCCAGCCAGAACAGGACCCAGCAGAGCAAGCCTTGTCTTTGTCCAGGAAAGGATATACCTGTACTGAAATATCCTAGGACAAATTTCCCACCCTTTATTCCCGTAAGCCAGTTATGGCAACAGCTTACTGTGTTGGCCATCACGGCAAACACGCAGAATTGGCTGCTTATTCCCCACTGGGCCTCATCAGTGGGGAGAAAAAGAAAAAATTCTGGCAGTGGTAGCAGATTCTGCCACCCCTAGTGTGATTTTCCTTCTGGTATAGCAACCCACAAAGCAATGACACCCTATACGCAGGGCATGAACACCTCCAATATGCTTTGGGAATACTAGCGTATTGGGCTGCTGAAGTGTCAGGGCCAGGATCCCTCCCAGGAGCTGCCGAGCAATGGCACCGCACCACTTCTTTGCAGCTGCTGGCTTATCCTGTGCTCCTGACAAGCCTACCTCCATTGCCACAACTATTGCTTCTCCCCTTATTCCTCTTTTTCAATCATTTTGCACTGAGGCATTATCCCAAGGCAGAGCAAGTGGTTTGTACCAACTGCATCTGCTTGTTAGTGCTCTGTCTTGTTCTTACCTAAGAGATCTTTGATCTTTTATTATTGATATGCGTGATGCAACTTACAGACATCAAATGAGGCAACATCAAAGACACACTTTTACCTTCATCCTGTGAAGTGGCAGCATTTTGCTATCCATGCCAAATTGCTATCGACCCCCTGGGAACCCCCTCTAACCCCAGTGCCACTCAACTGCATGTTCATCACTATCTTCCCTCTGCCCAGCGTCTTGCACACTGACACCATGATTTTCTGTGTGTGCATGAATCACAGAATCACAGAATCACAGAATCGTTGAGGTTGGAAGGGACCTCTGGAGATCATCTAGTCCAACCTCCCTGTTCAAGCAGGGTCACCTAGAGCATATTGCCCAGGATCACATCCAGACGG